GTAAACACTCAACCTTCAGGAAAGTGTGGTCTCAAACATGATGGACGGCATTCTGGCACACTCAGATTTCACTCCAGCGGGGTAAACGTTCATCCTACTATTTCTTCATGCTTTTGAACACACCAAACACTGAGCTCTCCTAATAACGCTCATAACACTAGTAACGCTAGAGCGATCGTGTATTATCGAAGAGTCAAACTGAGGAAGCGCAGTCAAGTGGTCCGTATGTGGTCAATCAAATCACAGCACTACAAACAATGCAAAACCTCAACCATACTGTGAGAGCTAATTACAACTGAGAATATTTAGTTAAACTAGAATTCTTGGACAGAACTTATTCTTGAGTACCGAAGAGAATTAGTTTCATAACCTGACAAACGGAAGACTTTGTGAGTCCGTATACCTGTGTAAATATACGAACAGGTTGAGTGTCATATATCTTCAAAGCGACATTGGATATAAATGATCCGTGAAGTCCAGATCTTCTAGAGTCCTCTATTCGAACCAACACATGCCTGTCCTCTCACACCCCAAGGTTTGTCGAGTGACCTAGTCCCTCTCAATCAGGAGTATCCTCAGTGGCAGTAGGCATCCTATTTTATCTTACTCCTCTCCTCACTTCAAAGCCTTCACCGAGTTTTTCGTTGTAAATCACTTGACATGTGGATTATCACATAGTTGTTGAGTGAGGTTGATTTAAGCTTGCAGCACTGCACTTCTTGGTATTGAAGTGGCTTCCAAATTGCCTCATGGTCAGTGCTGTCGAAAGCGTTTTCAAAGTTGATGAAGTTGCTGTAGTGATTTGACTTCCATTCTATGCTCTGTTCGATGATGGTGCGTAGTGTTTCGATTTGATCCGAGTATGATTTGCTCATCCTGAATCTTGCTTGTTCCATGTGGAGTGTTTCATCAAGAGAATACTTTAGTCTCCCCAGGAAGATGTGACCTAATGTTTTGCCTGACGTGAATAGAAGCATCTTTCCGCAGCGACCATAGCAAAGCCTTGACAACATGACTGGGTGGCTCTTCTTCCAATCGGTGAAGTACATACCTTACTCACTTCCTTCCTTCCGAACACTCTCGGACAGTTTGTAAGGATGTCTGCTGAGGTTTGTAAGTCCGTTCTCAGCACTTCTGGAGGAATTCCACTTGATACTGCTGCCTTACCCACTGGCATTCAGTAACAATGTGACATTCAGAATGTCTGCCTTTGTCCGATGACTGGTATTCACTGGGGATTCTTGGTCCGCTCGTAGTGGTATTTCCAGATGAGTTACAGTTGGTGGTCGGTAAAAGAGTCTCTTGAAGTGACTAGTCCATCGTTTCCTTTGCTTCTCCTCTCTAATAATTAGGTTCTCTTCACTATCTTTCGTTGATTGGATCTGCGTTGATCTGCATCTCTTCCCAGATAGGGACATCGTCAATTGACATAGTGTCCCAGGACACTTTGAAATGCAGCCCGTTTTACTTCAGCCGATACTGCATTGTAATAATGTACTTCGGATACCCTAATGTTAGTATTCACGCATTTGGTCGACGAACTCTATGTCAGCGAATCCAAAGTAAACTAATCCAGTCAATTGACGAAGTCCCTATCCGGATAGAGACGTAGATCAACGCAAATCCAATCAACTATACAAAGGGAAGAGAAGGTAATTAAATCATACATCTACCGTTCATCAATGCATTGCCCAGTCACGAAGAGAAGCATTGAAATTAGAGATGAAACAGGGGAAAAGACAAACAATAAGGATCACGTCAACATGTGATACGAGACTGACTGTCGCCACAATGATATACAGTCTGAGAGAAAGGAGGATAAAATTACGAAGTTACTTGAAACATCCTAATAAGTATGAATATTGCGATTAGATAGTTCAGGAGGGATTTTCCAAAGAACCACTCCCTTACATACAGTCCTACACTCTGAGAAATTTACAGAGCCTAATAATACATTTCAACACACATACGCTGACACATGTTGTCCAACACCACCGTCTAACTGTCTCTCATATTTCCTGTTGTGTATTGACCAGCAGCCATTCGCCTACTCGAAGTGGTTGCTGAAAGCGCTGCAAAGAGCACCACGTAATACCAGTGATCCAGTGTTTATGTGTCTAGTATTATAAGGCCGTATAGGGGTGTGAAACTCAAGTAGGAGAACTGGTCAGAAGCAAGTGCGTACTCATTTTCACTTGTTACTGGAATTCCAATGCGAAGAAGAGATTTTGATGGCAGTAAAACATGATGATGACGAAAATCATGATGACGAAGATGACAATATGATGATGATGATGATAGATGGAACAAAGAACTACCTCTAGTTTTCTTTGTAATACGTTTGACAGTAAATCAGGATGTGGAGTTTAGTTGGACACACTCAGTCTATACAACCACAGAAGATTGAATGCTTTAGTTTGGCCAGTCAAGATGGAGCTGCAGGCACAGACATCGCCAAACAGTCCTCTGTACTCACTCATTTCACCAAGAGCTTCTCCTCCCATGATGAGTCCTCTTCCTGTTTTGTCTGATCTCAGTTTAACATTCATATTACCCATCACCATTTTGATACAGCTATTTGGGACACTGTCCATGAATGTTTGCACTTGTCTGTAGACGTACGACTTGCTCACTTATTCTGCCTTGTTTCTAGGCGCGTAGGGAAACAAGTGTCACAGTTGTCGTGGAGGTGCTCGCCTACGAATGAATCACCAAATCAATGTTTCATATGACGCATATATCAATTCACGGTCTGTTTAGAGCAAAAGAAATGATCACTCTGTGTGTGAGGATGAAACACCGAAACTCATGAAGTAATGAAACATGGCTCAAGTAGAATGCTGACAGTACATTCTGGGTTATCCTCTAGTCGTTTGGTTGAGTGTGGGACCTAGTCAGTCTACCCATCATAAAATGCTGATTCCTTTACTCCCTCCTAAGGCTTCTACACATATTTTCGCTGGTTTCATAACACTTCATTCACTCCACACTACTAACAAGTAGCATAAAATGAAATTGAAAACAACTAGAACCTTCTATGAATTTGCATAGTGTTATTCAGAGACGGAGATATTCTCCGTCTTCTAGTAAAACGAAATGCCTATTTCTTCGATCCATTGCGATTTCACAGTTGTCATCATTCCTTCACATTCTGTCGCCGTAACAATTGATTCGATAGGCTTCAATGTAGATTCCACCACAACTTCATAGGTCATTGCATTCATTGCATTATCACTTGATGACTGAGTGATTATCGTGGTCGACACGTAGTCTGAAGGTCGGACATCCTATGTCTAGTAGGAGGATATGTGCACTCTGGTGATGAGTACAGGACTGGAGGGGAATAGCTGTCCAGTGTGTCTTGTATTCGACTGTTGTCCATCATCCAGTGAATCACACATTGCTTATTTGTGTGTGTGGAGGGGGGCTTAAATTGTCTCATGAAATATCTGCTCAGCTAAGCTTTCTGTGACTCCCGAAATTTCCTACCGTCAGTCATACAACCTCTCAATCTTCTGAATACAGTCCACCTCCCCTTTTCACTACAAGCCATTGGTCTACTCTCAAAACTGTGCATATGTGATTTCTAACCTATTTGTTCATTTTTACAAAACTGAGAGTGAGTTAATATTGCCCCATCGCTAACCACATTCCCCACCATCCTATCTCAAACTGATATCCATTGGACGACAATCAATGCGCGCTCACACATGATTACAGGATTATTTGTGACTATGGGGGAATACTCATTGCAAGCGATCTGTGAGTTTCACTCCTTGACAAGATTATTTCAGTCTGACACTGAAATTCACAACCAATGTACAAACACTTTCAGAAATCCGACAATACTGCATAGTATGTGGCTGAACATCTAGGTGTGTAAATGCTATGTATGCTTGGTTTCAAGCAATTTTATTACCTAATTCCTTTGTCATATATATCTTTTCATTTATTAGCCATTAGTTCTCAAACGTTGAAAAATTTAAGACACGTGGCATTTGAAGGCGGATATCGTGCAAGGGATAGATGAAGAGATTGGATTGTCCGAAGCTTCTCAGTCTCGCGGAAACTGCTCCCAGTGTGGAAACCATTATATGCTGTCACCGAGAGGCCTGTTCCTGTTTACACCATCAGAAGAGAATAGAAGGAGAACGGTATTAACGCCAGCCAACTGCGGAGACGGAGACTGTGTGTGTGTGTGTGTGGGGGGGGAGGGGGTTGAAGAAGTCACCAACAACACAAAACAAAGTCGTGTAGCATTTCTGCACTTCTCACTGACAAGGAATTACTCGCAGTATTTTCGGTCGCGTCTTCCATAAAACACCTGATTTCTGAGCGACGGATTTAATTGTGAGGTGAAGAAACGAAGATCCTTGGGAAACAATGCAGAAAGCATGAAAAGAAGACAAAACAAGCAAAATACGAACCACCATTTCAATTTGAAACTTCACTGTGAGATTCTCTAGTTGGCCAGCATTGTAAATCATTTCGCCAAATCTACCACTGTATTGTACCACTATACTAGTGATCATAAACAATAATAATGACGACCTGATTCAGAGTATCCAACATAAGAACATTTGACCTGATTATCATCTTCAGATACAATAAGACTACAATGAGAGTTAGACCAATTTCAGCTTCATCAAGTGCTTGCTACTCTATGTGAGGCCGAGATTCACACCGTGAATCACTATTTTCACAATCAACATGTTTCAGTTCAAACGATACTTCACTCTACTTATCTGCACTTATCAGCGTGTACATCCAGTTCAAGTGTTCTCAAGTGTTGATTGTCCAACCAGTCAGTCATTCAGTTGTTCGCTTGCTCGCTCACCCACTCATACAAATCCACTTCATTCAACAAGTAGCCTGAGTGAGTGTGCATCACAGGATTTCCATTGGTCGCACCACATCGTCACAATGCTTGTTATTCTCATCACAGTGCTCATGAGTAGTATAAATACGTGCTTCTCTCCTGTATTCCGGTGTCCACACATAAACTACTTGCTTATCTAACAACAGAATTAGTTGTATCCATTGAGAATGGTAAGTGTGTGTGTGATATGTTGGATGAGGTGTATTTCTCTCTTCAATTCCGTTTAGATCTGCTGTCTACTGCTCTCACTACTTGTCATTCTATCGGCTGATATTGTATGTCGTGGTGACTATGGTCATCTATCCGAAGACGATGTGCCTCAACCTTCGTTAGATCAAGGTGAGATACACTTCATTTTCACATGGTCTTCTGTATATTTGAAATGTTTCATGTTGCTCACACAAACATACACACACACACACACGAAGTGAAGGACTCAGTAGCAGTGTGTTACACTTCTGTCACATTCACAGTGTCATCCTCATTTTGAGTGATGATGATGACGTTGAGTTTGATGGTGGTAACTCGGAGTCACATGGTTATTCATTATCTGATAGGAAATTTACCTTTGATGATGCATGTGATCACTCGATGAGATATTGACTGCTTTTTTTCTCTCTGTTCTCTCCAGAATCTCACGAATTCGATGGCGACCAGGAGCCGTCAGTTGACCGAAGAGGTAAAAGTTCTAAGGCGCAGAATAAGAATACGAAGAGCAATAGCAAATCCGTGGATTACAATACGAAGAGTAAAAGTGGTGCGAAAACGTCTGATAATAATATTGGAAATTTCCTGAAGAATCTAGTATTTGGTAACCAGAACAAAATGAGAAATACTCCTGTTCATCGCAACTCTACAATGCAATAAATCTTTGCATGTGATTCTGTGTCTTCTTGACTTTCTTGCATCGTAGTAAACTGTACAGACTGTTTTGTTGAAAAATAGGCTACACGGAGATGTGCAAGTAACTGAAGTGATGTGAAGGGAATGTGAAAACGCAAATCTGTAGATTCATTTTTTATTTCCCTCAGGATTAAGATTACCAGCTTCGTATATTTCATAAAGTCAGATTTAGAATACACGAAATGAATTAAATTCATTCTATAGTGCGTTAGTAAGTAGTCTGTGGTTCAGTAGCATGAGCCATACCAACCACGCGCTTGACTGATCCGCTTTCCGTTCTTGGTTGATGCACTCGCAAACCTTGCCTAGTTGATTGTTATTTAGGCTGAAAAAGCGGCTAACAAACCCAAACCATGAAAACAAACAACACCCCGTGCTACTGAAACTTCATAGCTTGAAGCTCCATGCTCCACTGGGTATATAAGGAATTAAAGAAACAACAGGGTTTATTGTTTTTGCTTAACAAAAATAATTTCCGTTAATTTGAGTATGTGTCCGAAGCATGTTGCATATAGTTTTAGCTGATTCGATTTTATAGGGTATTAATATTTAATTGCATCAGTTCACTTTTAAAAAATGAGAAAATAAATGCAAATGATGACAGATAACTTTCCTGAAGATATTCTCTCTCTCTCTGTATTCAGAAGTTTAAAAAAGTAAAAGTGATTTGAAACCTAGACAATAAGATTAACCTACTGGTAGTTTCTTTTCAATCAGATAATCTTCCTATTCGACAATATCTTTTGATTGCACACAGAATAGTTATTCAGTGTAGCCGATGTCAAGCCATAGATTAAAAGATACACTTTGTTTTACATTTTCTATCTTGTATCAATATCCCTTTATACCAGTGTTAATTTTTATTTGGTGGATAGTGACTACCTGTGAAATCCAAGATGTGCATTTCATTCTGTTTAAGACTCATCAGTTGGATATGAGTGAGTACTCATCGTTTCAAACGCCAAAGCGTTATCCACTAAGTTCACTTGGGCCACAAGTGAGCCACACGTCAGCAGAGGGTGGAAATTTCAGTCAGTCCAAAGGTGATTAATGTTATCTAGCTGTACACATTTGCTAATATTAGTTATTTAGTTCTCTTATGTTTAAATATACACAGGTCAAAATTGCTTATTTTCAACTAGAACATATACACAAATGGAATTCCTCTTCCTAGTTTACATATTCATGAATAAAATGTATGTATATAAACAAATAAAGATAAATTACTATGGTTACTCATTTCACTGTCAAACATAATCTAATAAGTTTACATTGGTTGCCATAGTAGAGGAGTGTAAGTTGTGCATAATTTATGAAAAGTGTTTATTATTGGTAGTAATAGTAGTTTTGTGTGAGATATGCGTATCTAGAAGGCTGTGTTTGCAAAATAATGTTTTATATGAAAAGAAGATTAAGAGAGAAATGAAATTTGATGTAAACATAATTATCAGCATATATTTTTTTGCCAAAGAAAGTTACCATAGAACAACATTTTGAATAAAAACAAAACAATAGTTTGTGCAGATTAAGTTTTATGGCATTTCATCTCATGAGCTGTATTAATGAGATATCTACCTAGCAATGGCACTATTGTAGGCTTTTCGGTACATGTTCAAAAAATTAAGGACAACAAACGCCTTTGATAGGCCTACTGGTTGATATGGGTCATCAGGTAGACACCATGAAATCCCTTAAAATTATCAATAGACTACATAGTTCAGTTCTTCTTCTTCTTCTCAAGTTTACCGAAGCAATTGCTATCAAATGCCTGGAACCTAATTTGTGTTCAGAAAGGAGCCATTAACAATCTGTCCTTGCCCTGTGTTAAATCTATATCCTTATTCTCCCTTTTGTTTGATTACATCACCTTTGGCTTTAACCTCTTCCCCTTTCTATATATACAATGTAATTTCGCTTGTCTTGGGTTTCTATGATCCGAGTTGAACTCAACACATTGTTATGCAAGTTACTAGTTACTTATCGTCTTTATCACCCCATTATTTTATTGCCCAACTTCTTTTTCTATTAAATCCCAACATTTATTATCTTTAATTCAATTTAGATTATCCTGTCTATTGACTGGACCGAAGTGCTGGGTCTCAGGTTGACACCTCGGCTCCTCGTACAGATGCTTCAACAATATCTGGTCACGTAACTTGAAGTCAATTGGTTGATGGTGACTAGTACGAGAGCCTTGTTCTTCAAGCTGCACACAGGTAACGAACGATGATACCATCTTATTCAGCAATGAACTGTTGCTTTCGCTTCATTGAAGTATACAAAAGGGGAATAAGTATATGAAGTTTCTAGAAATATTTTTTTCGCGTAAGTTAGCTTTAATGACGATAGAAGGTTTTAGCATTTATATACTTCTAAAACAAAGATGCATTCGTTATCATACTTCAGAGACTTATACACAATGAACACTCTTCTTTTCTGTAAACTTACCATCCCTGCTTGTTTTTGTATTACTCACAGCTAGTGGTAAATATGTTATGTCAAATCTCTCATACAAGAGAGATATGGCTTATAATGTTATATAGAGAATCTCACATATTTGCTGGATTGCACTGTAATTGAAACATGCTTAGACGATATCAGCAGGACGCATAAGTCAGAAAAGAGATTTCTCCTAGTAACTTCACTTCAAAGCAGTGCAGCTATCTACAGCCTTATTCATACTATGTTAATTGAGAACAAAGCTCATGGGTTATTGTCAGTTAGTAGCAACGTAATAAGCCAAAATATATGAGAAATAATGTGAGAGAAATAATAATCTTACATAATCGAGAAAGTTGACAACTAATTAGTTATTTAATGAATAATCATTTGAAAATAACTGACAGAAGACAAGTCAACAAGGAAATGAAATTGGGTTTTATAATTTATTACCTCATATTTTATTCCTTTACGTTCCCGTCTGAACCTAGAGCTTTGAATTTTCTGTAGCAGTTCCAGAAGTTAGAATTCATGGGCCATTGTGTAGGTTCCCAGTGGCTTAATGGTCTACGAAGTCGCCTTGTAACCAGAAGGTCCTGGATTCGACCCCCGATGGATGCGTGCTGCTGAAGAGTCTCAAACGAGGGTGAAACAGCTGTCCAGTAATCCCAGGTATTCCGCTTCTTTTTCTGTCTATCAAGAATTTCAACTTCACTGGTAAGGTAAACGTACCAAAGTCGAGGCTTGACAATATTCATCCGCAGAGGGAGGTAAAAAAAGTTTAGATTTTCTATTATCGCATTTCATTGAAGCTCTATAGTATATGCGAAGTATTCAGATCAAATTTTTATAGGATCAGTAGGATATTGAGCTAGATTTTGACAACTTTTGGTCTTAGTTTGGTACTAACGATTCTCTCAAGGATCGAAACCAAGACCATCAGTGTGCAGGGAGAAAAAAATATCAATTCGTGAAACAGTGTACTTGAAATCAAATGCATACACGGTGAACAATCGAACACAAAACTACTACTGAATAATTGCAACCTCCAAGATTGACTTCTTAAGTTTCTACTACGATCTTGAGAACCATGAGTTTTATCCAGTAGAGTATAAGAAAGGTTCCATATCGATAACTTAAGATGGTAGTGACAGTATATCACAGAAGTTGGAGGTTTTGGAACATTCAGTCACCAAATAGTGAGTGAATGGCGACGTACTTGACTGACAACCGTATCGTTCTAGGACTAAACCTTTGTGGACTTCATAGAACACTCACTACTGAATCTCCATCTAGAACGAAACAGATGTCCTGTGCCACATTTCATTTTCGTGACAAAGTCTAACTTGACGTCTGTAGTATGCAATACCAAATTTGTCATGATATCAAGAAGTTGAACAATTTTCAAATTTTACACGATAATTGGTAGTAATTCAAGAGCTCAGTAACGTTGAACCACCTCATCAGATGATGGTCAACACAAATGCCTATAAATCAAATCATCCCACATAACAAATGAATTAACACAAAATAAGGAAACATGAATGTAATGACACTAACATGAGTAAAACGAAAAGAATAAATGATCCGTGAGAATTTTCAGTATTCGAATGATGACAAGGAGTGAATACATATACACCATTGACAACAATTTCGAATAGCATCACTAGCATCCCCCAACACTGATTCCTAGCATCCCAAAGATCTCAGCCAGACAGTCTATACATTCAAATGTGGCCCAAACCAGCATTCAAAGGCTCCATGGGATAGTGTCATGTTTTCATTTTATCACCCCTAACTCTTTTCCAACCTAATCCTGTTTCATAAAGTAATTTTGGTGGATGATGAGTAGTATTGGAATCCCATATGCACATTTCGTCCTGTTTGGGACTCGTCACTGGAAAAGTGATATTGAATTGAATAACTAATCCTGTTCCACCTAACATAGTTCGTTTAGAGCACTGAAGATTTGATATGTGTAACAAATATTCTAGCTACCTTATTCGAATCAGCTTTATAACTTCATCGATTGACTCTCTCTTCGTAATTAATACAACGCCTAACCTCATTATTACTGACCGTAACTAACACAAGAGACTGAACAAAAACACCTGTGGTCAAGCCTCGTTAATCTTTTTATGTCTTCCTCTCTCTACACCCAAATCTGTCAGCCCGGTGGTAGGGACACATTGAGCCACTACAATGTACATGCGTCTTACTATGAACAGCCAGATATCAAGCATGAACGCAAGATGGTAGTCGAAACAATAAAATACATGTATGAGTCAGCCAGATTAGTTGTAGCGTCATACCTGTGAATAGGTTTTATTTCTACCCCCCCCCCCCACACACACACGCAAACATAACCCAACCATTTCTAACCAGAATAGCCCAGTGATAAAGCCTCACCCTTAGGTGTTAATGATACTAATTCAAACAAGCTGACTGTATAAGGTTAGGCTTTTTAAATATATTAGCAAAAGCACATCATAATTCTAATTTACTGATAATTCTCTATTAGAAGA